CCTCCTCCCTCCTCCTCCTCCTCCTCCTCCTCCTCCTCCTCCTGCTCCTCCTGATCCTCCTCCTCCTCCTCCCCTGCTCCTGCTCCTGCTCCTGTTCCTGCTCCTGCTCCTGTTCCTCCTCCTCCTCCTCCTCCGCCTCCGCCTCCGCCTCCGCCTCCGCCTCCGCCTCCGCCGCCTCCGCCTCCTCCTCCTCTCTCCTCCTCCTCCTTCTCCTCTTCTCCTCCTCCTCCTCCTCCTCCCTCCTCCTCCTCCTCCTCCCCTCCTCCTCCTCCCTCCTCCTCCTCCTCCTCCTCCTCCTCCTCTCCTCCTCCTCCTCCTCCTCTCCTCCTCCTCCTCCTCCTCCTCCCTCCTCTCCTCCACCCCCCCTCCACCCGTTCCGAAAGCACGTGCACACCCCCCCCCCCCCAGCGGATCCAAGGGGGGGGGGGGGCGGTGATTATGGCCCCATCCAGAGTAGGGTCAGGACGGCGACCGTCCCTCCTCAGAGACGGAGCGCTGCCCTCGCCGGGGCTGCCGCCGGGCTGCGACGAGCTCCACGGCGGCGGCGAACTGTTCTGTCGGGGAGACGTACGACTCGGGTTCGGGGGACTCGGGTTGGCATTGATGGGCCCACTTTCCACCACTCCACCACCACTACCATATGTAGGACGGGGGAGAAGGGTGGATGAGGAGGTCCTCATCCACCTCCTCCTCCTCCTCCTCCTACTCCTCCTCCTCTTCCTCCTCCTCCTTCTTCTCCTCCTCCCTCTCCTACCCATGGTAGTGGTGGTGGAAGATGGGCCCATCAGGCATGATGGGGCCATCAATGAAAATGACTAAACCCAATCTAAAATTTGACGCGAGCTCCCGCTGCAGGCATCCCACGAAGAGCGGACCGCCAAGACCCAGGACCCGCTCGTCGACAAACCTCGGCAAACCCGAGCTGCGGCTTACTCGAGTCTTACGTTTCCCCGATTCTGGCAAGGGCGTCAGGCTGGAGGCCGCCGCACGGCGCCGGGGCTCGGGGTCGTCGTCGGGCTCCCCTCCCCGGTCGGAGGGGGCAAGCCGCTCTGCAGCGGCCGGCCGGCGTGCGGAGGCGAGGAGGGCGACCCCCCCGGGAGGCAGGCCTGCACCGGGGCCCCCGGCGACGTCTCGCGCGACGCCCGAGCATACCGCTCCAAGGAGCGCTCCGGGGACGCCTCCGAAGGCCGCTCCCTCCGCATCCTGCGCGCCGCCTCCCTCGGGGAGAGGGCGAGCAGCTGCTCGGCCTGCGCCAGGCGCTGCGCCGAGCCCTGCGGGGCCTCCCCGGCGCGCAGCGGCAGCGGCGGCCCGCCCCAGCTCGCGGGCGGGCCGGGCGCCGGGGGCCCGCAGGCCTCTGGGCCGGCGGGAGTGGGCCCGGCGTCCGCCGCGGCGGCCCCGGCGGGCGGGGGCTGGGAGGCCTCCAGGAGCGGCGGGGGCGGCAGGCCCCAGCCCGCAGAGGGGCCTGGCGGCAGGCCGCCGCCTCCCGCGTCCACCGCGGCGGCCCAGGGCGGCGGGGGCCGAGGGGCGTCCAGGAGCGGGGGCGGGGGCAGGCTCCAGGCCGCAGGCGAGCCGGGCGGCAGGCCGCTGCCCGAGCCCCTGGGGCCAACAGGTGGCCAGCCGACGGGCTCGGTGCGCCGCGGGCCCCCCTGGCCGATCCGAGGCGGGCTGGCCGCGGCGAGTCGCACGCTGTCGACCCACCGCCGGAACTGCTCCTCGCTATCCGAAGTGGCAGTCGCGCTGCCGGAGGGCTCAGCCAGGCGCGTCCGTAGCCGTGCCGCGCCTTCGCCTGGATCGACTCCAGCGCCATCTGCATCCAGCGACCAGTCCCCCCTATCGTCGGCCCCTTCGTGCAGAAGCGGTGGCGGATCTGGAAGGGCGCGTGGTACGGGGAGGGAAGGCTTCGGTACATCCTCTGGAGCAGGCTCCCGAGCTCTGCCGCCCTCACCACGACTGACTGCTCTCAAAAGCCCATTGATGTTCCGTTCGATGAAACTCCCCCCGTTGAGTCTGGCGAAAAATTTCATGAGGATCATCCACAAGATAGTGACGATAAATGGCAACAGAAGCCAAGTACTTACAAAGCGGATTAGCAAGCTGATCAGCCAGTGGTCTGCATCCTTGTGGCTCACGTTCGCCAGGAAAAGCATGATGTACAAAACGCTGAAAGCGAACCAGAGTAACCCGCCCACTATGCATGCGACGTCCTTCAGGAACCACATCCGGAGCTGCGTCTGCACCTCGCGGTCTGTGCTGACCCGTGGCATCGTGCGGTCTCGCCGGGACAGTATCGCCAGCGGGGCGAGCACAACGACGACAGAACCCAGGGACACGAGCATGTCGCGGAAGAGGTTCCCGAGCACGTCGTCCGGACCCGCGCACTCGGGGATGCTGGGGCTCGCGCTGGCCCCGTAGAAGGCTGCCATGAGCATGAGCGACCCGAACACGGCGTCAAGCAGCGCCACGACCTGGAAGATCCAGGGCACAGTCGTGCTGCGCAGCAGAAGCCTGCAGAGCGGGTGGATCGACCTGCAGAGGACCAACAGCTCCCCGGAGGATCCCACCGCCCGCTGCGCGGGCGCCCCCGGCTGGGCGGCTCCCGCGGGCACCTGACTCCTGCGCCGCTGCAGCGCTCGGCTCTTCTCCGCGAGGATTGCGACGAGGTCATCGGCGAGGCCCGTGCCCGAGTCCTTTCGGGCGCCCGAAAATCTAAAATAGCTCCGGTCCAAGGTGACTCCTTGTTGGGCCCCGACACACGGATCAGAAGCTACTGGGACGACCGTGGGGGGTTCTGAATGGATAGGGGGGGTTGCAAGTTGATACCCAGCTGGGCTATATCTGGCCCACCCTGGCTTATCAGTGGGCTAGAAGTGCCTTAAGTAGCTTAGGGGGGTTGACGATCCGGGCTAAGTGGGCTCCGCCCACTTAAGGAGTCATCTAACCCCCCTAAGCCACTCGGGGAATCTGTAACCCACTTATAAGCCAGGTTGGGCCAGACACAACCCACCTTGGTATCCATTTGTAGCCCCCCTATCCACTCGGAACCCCCCACGGTCATCCCAGTACCCCTGACCACCCCCAGCCCCGATGATTCGGGAGTGGTCGGATGCCCGAGTCATGCGGGATGGCTCCGGTCCGGGGCAACTCTGGTCTGGGCCCCCGGTGCACGAATCAGAAGCGATACCTGAACACCCCCAGCCCCGATTCGCGGGCGAAACACATATCCGTATCTGCGCCCTCGCGGGCCGGGCCCCTGGGCCGCGACCCCGCGGATGCGGGGCGCCTTGTTGCGAATGCCCCAGGCGGAGCGCAGGCGTGCGACCCCGCGGCTGCGGGGCGCTCCTCTGCGGATGCCCCGCGCGGAACGCAGGCGTGCGACGGCGCATCCGCGGGGTCGCGCCCCCGAGTCCAGACCGCGAGGGCGCGGATACGGACATGTTCGCCGCTCGCGACCACTTCGAGGCTCTGCAGTCCTTCGCCGAGTCGCCGGGCGACGGGCCGATCCCAGCAGGCTGCCCAGGGCGGGTGCCCCTGGAGGACCCGAGCGGAGCGGCGGGGCTCGGAGGCCGAGGCGAGTCGGAGCACTGCTCCTGAGGTGCAGCGCCCCGCGCGTCCCCAGGGTCGCTGCCGATTCCCCCTCCGCCGTCGGCGTCATCTGCCTGGGCGGGATTGACCTTCTCAGCATCGTTGGCCCGATCCCCATCCCCGATGGACCATTGTATCTCAGCCCCGCCAGCCCACCGCCCCAGTTGGGGACAGGCCCCTGGCAACCCGCAGGGAAGAGCCCATCTCCCCATCTAGGGGGGCAAGGCGGTCAGAGGGGCCCATACCACGCCCAGTGGGGGCAGGGATCGGCTAAACGGTGCTCGCCTTCGCCGTGTCCGAGGCTCGGTGCACCACGTGGCCGTGGCACAGGTAGCGCAAGTCCAACTCGGAGTGCCCCATGGTGGCCGTGGCCCACATCATCATCAGCTTGTAGAAGACGAGCGCCCGGATGACTTCGGACACGTCCTTCTGGCAGAGCTCCTCGTAGTCGCAGTCCAGCCGTAGCCTCAGAAGGACGTGGATAGCAAATAATAACACCACCTTTGGCCTGGACTTGCCGCTCTTCCGGCCCGCGTTCATCATTTTCTTGAGCACCACCATCTGCGAGTACGCCTGGCAGTCGTCGGAGTATATGAAGAGGCTGGGCGTTGTCTTCCTGGAGCCCTGCGACAAACAGGCAATCAGTGCAGCTACCAAGTGCACTGCCAGCAGGGTCCATAGCACAATCCCGCCACGCTGTTGCGCCCACTGGCCCTGGCCCAGCGCTTCAAAGCCTGCTGGGGCGAGGATAGCCACGTCGGGACATAGCAGGTCGATTGGAAGCGACAGGCTGCCAAGGGCGGAGGAGAAGAAAGAGAGGTGGTTGCAGGCGCACACGAGCGAGTTGCCGCTGACCTCCACCACCGAACAGCCGTCGGCGGACCAGACCTCACTCGTGTGGTTGAAATCCGTCACCGTACCTCGTGCACATCAGGGCGTATTCGAATGCTCCTTGGATGTCTGGTTCGGTCTCTGCTGAATGATCTGTATCATATACAACTCTTGCCTCGCAAGCAGCCTTACAAGCGAACCCCCTCTGCTTGCCTCAATACGACCAGAGACTCCCCCAATACAGCCCAAGAAGGTTCTGAGAGGCTCTCTAGGCGGGACGGAAAAAGCCCAAATCCACAATATCTCATCTGTTATTCAGTGTGCTTCACGCTCGCGCCGTTTCGTGCGTCCCAAAGCCCAAGAGAGACGGCCCCAGACGCGTCTAAGACCGGCCGAGAGGACCCCAAGACCGCCCAAGAGGCAACCAAAGCGGGCCCCAAGAGGGCCCCAATCATGTCTGCTGTTGTTCAGCTGCTCCGGCTCCCGGCTCCCAACCGCCCTTGCTCTTGCTCTGTATTATGCTTCCCGATGGCATCTACGTTGGCCTTGCTCGTTGTTGTCGGTCTTCGCCTACTCCCCTGGACCTCTGGACAGTGACTGGTTTTTTGACTCTGAGTTGAACGTCGGCTCTTTATGTCCGATGTCGCCACTTCGTCTTGCCCATGCACAGGCGCGCGGGCCTAGAGAAGAAATTGATAGCATAACCAGTTTAGGCTACAAGCAGGTTTGGGCTTGAGCCAAACTAGTTGCGGAAGCACTGCACGAATGTCCGAAGGATACACGCCAAGGAAACTATACAGCACGCCTTGGTGTACCACGCCAAGGAAACTATACAGCACGCCTTGGCGTACCACGCCAAGGGGAGCACCGAGGGGCGCCGCCAGACCAACGATCTCGAGTCCGAGTTGGCCAGGCGCCGCGGTGAGCGCCACGTGGCGCCACCAGACCTGCGACCGCGGTCCCAAATCGGCTTGGATGACACCGCTGGCCAGCGCAACGCTCCCCAGAGACCTCACAGCCAGGACGCGCCGCGGTGAGCGCCGACTGGCGCCAGCAGGCCGGCGGTCACGAGGCAGAAGCGCCGCGGTGAGCGCTACGGGACTGGCGACCTTGAGACAGGAGTGGGACGATCGCGGCACCCCGGAAGCAGCAAACGGCGAAGCCACAGTGTACAAGACGAGCCCGGCTCCCCCCAGAAACCACCCGGCCGAAGCCGTAGCACACGGGGCGAACACAGCATCCCTGGAGCGCGCAGCGGCAGTCCGAAGGGTCGCCGCCTCGGGCGGACAAGCCGGCAGTGCAGCAGCACAACCGATCCCGACCTGATGCCATAGGTCCCCTCCTCCTCCCCCTCCTCCTCCCCCTCCTCCTCCTCCCCCTCCTCCTCCTCCCTCCTCCTCTCCTCGGCCTCTCCTCCTCCTCCTCCTCCCCTCCCCCTCCCCTCCCCCTCCTCCTCCTCCTCCTCCTCCTCCCTCCTCCTCCTCCCCCTCCTCCCCTCCTCCTCCTCCTCCTCCTCCTCCTGGGTCCAGACCTCCAGACACCTGTCATCCCACAGGAGCTAGACGATCTTACAGAGGGCGTTGGCGGTCTGGACGCCTGCGCATGTATATGAGCACCAGGGGGCTCAATGGTCTGGACGCTTGGCACTGGTACGAGCTGCGTATGCTACAGCAGGGCTCGACCTAAACAGTGTCTTTGTTGTTCAATTTGCTTTCGTGTTCCCCCTTTTGGTATCAACCCCACCCTTGCCGAGAGACGACATGGACGCGAAAACGGCTCACGAAATCGCCAGAACACCGTTTAGGGTCACCCCTGTGCTACATCCAAATCTGACCGCAACAGGGGGGACAATCTACCCCCAGTCAGCATTGTCCCCACATGACATGCACACACCATGGACGGTGCGCTGGCACGATCGGGTGCGATCACCGTGGGGTGTCGTCCGCAGCCTAAGAGACCTGCAGGGGACCCCAAGACAGCACGAAGAGGTCCCCTAGACGGCCTCCACTGGCGTCAGACGGGCCAGAGGAGCCCTGAGACGGCCCCAAATGCCCCCGATACAGCCCAAGAGAGCTCCAAAGGCCATACAGGAGGCCCGAAGAAGCTAGAAGCATTGATATCCCATATGTGTTTCAATGCTTTTCGCGCTCCAGCCATCCTGGATTCCTACAGCCCAAGACGGCCCCAGACGCTAAGACTGGCCGGGAGGACCCCAAGACCGCCCAAGAGGCCATCAAAGCGGGCCCAAAGAGGGCCCCAAGACGGCCCAGGAGACCGCCGAGGCGGCCCAGTGGCGCTCCGAGAGAACCCCAAGACGGACCGACCGGCTCGAGTTCGGACCGCGCGCTGAATTGCAGCGGGTCTCTAATTCAAACTCATCCACTCTGCGTTGCTGCACTGGCACGGTGGCGGGGTTTGCCGCAGGCAACTGGATACATGCACTCCTCCACCTGCTCCGCGACGGTATCTCCCTGGCCTCCGCTCAGCCTTCTGTGCGCCGAAAGCCTCCGGCGCTCGGCGCTCGGATGCCGTGGAAGCTCGAGGATGATGGGGTCCTCCAGATCCCTCACCGCCACCTCCTCCCCGTTCCGCCGGATGCTAAAGGACCGCACGCCTTCCGTCGCGATGCTGAGGTCGCTCGCCACCCCAGCGCTTGGCTCTGGTGCTGCTGCGGTGGAGCCTGCGTACGAGAAGGGGTTCGTGGCCCACTTCGCAGACTGCAGGCCCATCGTCGCCCCAGCCGCGAGTGCGCGCCCGGGCACCAGCCGACGATCCGCGGCGAGCCCAGGCATCGCCGGGAGCACGAACCCGCCCAGGCTGGCGCCCTGGGCCGCCAGCTCGTCGCTGGACACTTTCCTGACGTCCAGCTGCAGGCCTGCGCTCGCGTTCATCGTGACCGTCTCGCCGAGCGGGGTGGCCTGGATGACGGCGTCGCCGATGGCCTCGACGGCCTGCTGCAGCTGGCCGCTGAGGGCCCTCTGCTGTGCCGCTTGCTCGCCCGAACGAGCGCCGCCTCCTGGGGCCGTGGCGGTCTTCAGCAGCGTGGCCACCGAGCTTATCAGCAGCGTGGCGGTCCCCACCTGCATGCCTTCGTCCAAGCTCTTCGCCGCCACCGCGATGTCGTTGACCTGAGGTCCACAGGGGTCACAAGGGGTCGCAGGGGGTCTCGGCGAAGCGTCAAGTTAACATCCTCCTCCACCCTACATACGGTCAGGAACTCTTCGAGAGCGTGTCGCGGCGGCGGCCACAGCGACACGCTGTGCCCCTCGCGAGCTGGTGGCGTGTCGCGCCGAAGCGTGCTGACCAGAACTGGCGCCGCGAGACGCTAAGCCAGGGCTCCTGACCCAGACATGCGACGTCCTCATTTTTTCAAGACGGCGTCCCTGGAAGTCCCGACCCTTTCCCCGGGACCGGTTTTTCATCCTGAGTCGTTTTGGACGGTCCTGGGGCCCGGCGAGGGCCCCCCAGGGCCGAAAATAAGGAAAAACTTGCCGTCCTGATTTTTTCACGACGCGAGCATGTCTGGGGACCGTACTCTTCCACCCTCCTCCACTCCTCCTGCGCTTCCTCACTGCTACCCCCCAAGTTCGTCGAATCGCCGAAGCGGCCCAGGGTGCATCAGCGGGCCCAAAACGCCGGGAGGCGCGCGCACGCGGAGCAAGCCAGCGCTGGCTGGATACAGCAGAGGTGCGGTGTCGTCTCCTATCCTGCTTCTCCTCCTCCTCCTCCTCGTCCTCCTCCTCCTCCTCCTCATCATCATCATCATAATCATCATCATCATCATCATCAGCATCATCATCATCATCATCATCATCATCATCATCATCACCACCACCACCACCAGCAGCAGCAGCAGCAGCATCATCATCATCATCATCATCATCATCATCATCATCATCATCATCATCAGCATCATCATCATCATCATCACAATCGTCATCAGCATCCTCAGCATCAGCAGCAGCATCAGCAGCATCAGCAGCATCATCATCCTCATCATCAGCATCAGCATCATCATCATCATGATCCTCATCATCATCCTCATCATATCATATCATCATCATCATCATCATCATCATCATCATCATCATCATCATCATCATCATCATCATCATCGTCAACCTCATCATCATCATCATCATCATCATCATCATCATCATCATCATCAGCATCAGCATCAGCATCAGCGTCATCATCATCATCAGCATCATCATAATCATCATCATCATCATCATCATCATCATCATCATCATCATCATCATCATCCCCATCTTCCTCCTCCTGCTCTCACAAATGCCTAATATTCCTCTTCCTCTTCCTCCTCCCTCTCCTCCTCCTCCTCCTCTTCCTCCTCCCCCTCATCTTCCCACACCTTCAGTGGTGGAAGGCATTCAAAATGTGGCCTCCGCCTTAACACCGTGCGAATTCATCTGACAGGTTAGCGACCGTTTCAAGGATTCGTACGGTTGAAGCCCCAGGAACGACGTTCTGGCACGAGGATTGTTAGGACGGAGCAGTCACATTGATTCGCGGTGTTGACGTTCCAGGAATGGTGTTATGGCACGATTTAGGAATGTCCAGGCGCAACAATTACAGGGATAAGCAGCGTTGAAATCCCAAGAATGGTATTTTGGCACGGTTGAGGATTCTCAGACGTCTGCCTCTCAATGGAGCACTTTTCACAATGAAGACAGAGTCTTGTTGGGACATACGAAGAGGGAACTTGGAGGGAGAGTTTATTGCAACATTGCTGATGCGTCTTGGGTTACACTCGCCCTCCTCCTCCTCCTCCTCCTCCTCCTCCTCCTCCTCACCACCACCATCACCATCAGCCTCAGCTGAGGAACTGGAGGACCGGGGAGACGTAAGACTCGGGTTCGGGGGACTCGAGATGGCCTGACGGGGCCATCATGAAAACGACAAGATCCAATCTGAAACTTGACGCGAGCTCCCGCTGCAAACATCCCACGAACACTGGACCGTCAGGGTCCAAGACGCGCTCGTCAAAACACAGGGGCCAACCAGAATCCTGGCGTGCTCGAGTCTTACGTTTCCGTGAGGGGGGGGGAAGCACCCGTGCGAGCGGAACATCCGACTCGGATGAGCTGGCCCCGAGGCGCTCCACGGTGCATCGACAGCTGAAGCCGAAGCCAAAGCTGAAGTGCACAGAGAAATGGAAAGGGCCCATCCTGCAGGTTTGGTTGACAGCACATCTAGAGACCTCCTAAATGGGGTCGGAGTAGATGCGGTCGGAAGATCGCGCCGCATCGCCTGTACATCGGCGATGCATCCGTGATGCATCGGCGATGCATCGGCGATGCACTGGCGATGCATCGCCGACGTCGGCGTCAAGCAAATCGGGCTCTGCATCGAGCCGCACCGGCGATGCATCGGCGATGCGGCGCGTTCCTCCGACCCCATCTACTCTTAGGTCGGGCATGCCCCCAACAGGGGGATTTTGGGCGAAAAATGAAAAATACCCTTAACAACACCCCCAAATAGCAACAACAAAAAGAAACAATGCTCAAAAAATAGCGCCCAGACTATGCTTCGACTATTTTTGAATCTGTATATATATATATATATATACACCCCCTGTAGAGGGACACGCCCGACTTAAATCGAGGATGCCTAGAGCATCGTTGACGCTTCCGCGAGAGGAGGCGAGCGGATCCCCTCCCAGAGCGCGCCCCAGGAAGTGCGCCTGAGCGGAGTTATCTGACCCCCCTGAGCCACTCGGGGCACTGGTAACCCACTTGTGAGCCAGGTTGGGCCAGATCTAACCCACCTTGGCATCCACTTGTAACCCCCCCTGTCCACATAGAACCCCCCACGGTCATCCCAATAGAGCATCGTTGACGCTTCCGTGAGAGGAGGCGAGCGGAGCACCTCCCAGAGCGCGCCCAGGGAGGTGCGCCTGCAGGATGCCCAGCCGCTCGGCGCGCTTTGGGCGGCGCTGTGTTTTCCCAACCATCCTGTGATGTTGGGTCCTCGTTTTGAAAAGACATCGGCCCGCATCCCAACTCTCCTCCTCCTCCTCCTCCTCCTCCTCCCTCCTCCTCCTCCTCCTCCTCCTCCTCCTCCTCCTCCTCCTCCTCCTCCTCCTCCTCCTCCTCCTCCTCCTCCTCAGCATCATCCTACCCATTTTGGCACACCCCTCACACGGTTCGTGGCCCCTTAGGGAGCTCCACCGAAGGCCCCAGTGGCACAGGCCACATGCGGGGGCCGCACCAATTCTGGCACACCCTTCACACTGTTCGTGGCCCCACAGGGAGCTGCACCGAAGGCCCCAGTGACACAGGCCGCATGCGGGGACCGCACCCACTCTGGCACACCCCTCACACGGCCCGTGGCCCCACAGGAAGCTCCACCGAAGGCCCCAGTGGCATAGGCCGCATGCGGGGACCGCCTCCGATTTTGGCACACCCCTCACACGGTCCGCGGCCCCACAGGGAGCTCCACCGAAGGCCTTAGTGGCACAGGCCGCATGCGGGGACCGCACCCATTTTGGCACACCACTCACACGGTTCGTGGCCCCACAGGAAGCTCCACCGAAGGCCCCAGTGGCACAGGCCGCAAGCGGGGACCGCCACCCACATTGGCACGCCCCTCACACGGTTCGTGGCCCCACAGGGCGCTCCACCGAAGGCCACAGTGGCACATTTCCCATGCGGGGACCCCCACCCATATTGGAACGCCCCTCACACGGTTCGTGGCCCCACAGGGAGCTCCACCGAAGGCCTCAGTGGCATAGGCCGCATGCGGGGACCGCCACCCATTTTGGCACACCCCTCACACGGTCCGTGGCCCCACAGGGAGCTCCACCAAAGGCCCCAGCGGCACAGGCCGCACGCGGGGACCGCCACTCACATGGTCCGTGGCCCCACAGGGCGCTCCACCGAAAGCGGTACCCGTAATGCGGTACTCGCAGCTGCACATGGTTGGTTCCTTCGGCAGGCGAAACTTTCCTGGACGCGGCGAGCGCGGAAGAGCACGAGGGGCGCGGCCCCGTCCAGCGGCCCCGGGCCTGGCCGAGATCGGTGGCTTCCTCATACTCTTCCTGCTCCTCCTCCTCCTCCTCCTCCTCCTCCCTTCCTTCCCCCTCCTCCTCCTCCTCCTCCTCCTCCTCCCCCTCCTCCTCCTCCTCCTCCTCCTCCTCCTCCTCCTCCTCCTCCTCCTCCTCCTCCGCCTCCGCCTCCGCCTCCGCCTCCTCTTCCCACGGCATCCCCATCAAATTGGCACACGCCCCCCCCTCCCCCGTGCCAATAGAATTCTAAGCGGGCTTCCGCCCGCGAGGGGAGGGCCTGGGGTGATCCACCCCTTGATTTCAAGCTTCAGTACGGGGAGTGGATGGAGCCCGGCGTGGGTGATGCAGGCCAGGACGTGCTCGAAGTCTGCCTGGTTTGGCCCCTGGCTTGGCTTGGCCTGGTTCGGCCGCGCGCCCCGCCTGAGACATCCTCGAAATCTGGCTGGTTTGCCACTGGTTTGGGCCTGGTGGCGCTTAATACACCGGGATGTCCATCTGCACACATATCCACCGCCTGGGAAACGGGCATCCCGTGACCCTGAAAGGATACATACACACGTACATGCATGCATGCAAACATACATACAAACATGCATGCATGCATACATGCACGATTACATGTATATATATAGACATGCATACACACATACAGGCATGCAATGATGCGTACATTCATACAATTACACTACATTACACTACATACATACATACATACATACATACATGCATGTATGCATGCATGCATGCATGTATGCATGCATGCATGCATGTATACATACAAACATACATACATACATACATGCATGCATGCATGCATGCATGCATGCATACGTACATGCATACATACATACATACATACACACATGCATACATACATACATACATGCATGCATGCATACATACATACATACATACATACATACATACGTACATACATGCATGCATACATGCATACATGCATACATGCATACATGCATACATGCATACATGCATACATGCACACATACAAACATACATGCATACATACATGCGTACATTCATGCATGCAGACATGCATATATATACATATATACATACATCCATACATGCATTCATACGTACATGCGTACATACAGTCCTAACTACATACATGCATACGCACATGCATATTTACATGCACACATGCATGGATACATACATGCGCACATAGATACGTACATACATACATACATATACACATACATACGAACATAAATGTATACATATACGTACTCACGCACACGCACATACATACATACATACGTGCATGCGCACATGCCTACATACAAACAAACATGCATACATAGATGTATGAGTCCATACGTACATACAGACAGTCATACATAAAGCAACACGCATACATACATATACACGTACGTGCATACATACATGCGCACATACATACATACATATATATATATTTATACATATACATATACATCTAAATATATATAGACACATACATCAACATATATCTAACTGTATACGTAATCGACCATATATATATATATATATATCACTACTTATAGATTAATACATGTATGCGTGCATGCATATATACATACATGCATACATGCATACATTCACACGTGCATACATACATGTATCTATAAACATCTACATCCGTATATGCACATATATACATGTATACATACATGCATACATACATACATACACACATACTCGCATACAAACATACAGACAGACAACAAGACAGACAGACAGACAGACAGGCATGCATGCATGCACATACCCATACAACAACTATAAAACCGTACATACAAACAAACAAGCATACATACATACATACATACATACATACATACATACATACATGCATACATACACATATACGTACCGACAGACAGACATGCAGACATATGATAACGGAGAAAAGCCCAGATGATAATATTTCTATGGCTATAGGGCTATGGGGCTATAGGGCTATAGGGTTATAAGGCTCTATGGCTATAGGGCTCTAGGAAGATAGGGCTATAGGGTAATAGAGCTCTAGGACTATAGGGCTATGGGGCTATAGGTCTATGGGGCTATAGGGTCGTAGGGCTATTAGGGCTATAGGGCTATAGGGCTATAGGGCTATAAGGCTATAGGGCTTTAGGACTATAGGGCTATAGGGCTACTGGGCACCTGGGCACCCGGGCGTGCCGCCGAAATCGGCGCCACAGCTAACCTAACCATTTGAATCCGCTAGGACCCCTACAGGGGCAAGTTCTGATTGAGGAACATACATACATACATGCATACACACATACATATACATACATACTTACATACATACAGATACAGATACAGATACATGCATGCATGCAGACATAGAAGTATTGGCTTTCTGACCGTCGCCGTGCTAATTGCTTCCTCGGTTCGGTACATGATCGGGGGGGCGGCTATGACGCGCGGTCCTTTGTGAGCTTCAAGGTTACAGCTACTGGGGCCATTCGGGACGCCTCCTGGGGCTTCTTGGGGGCCGTTTGGGAACCTTTCGGGGCCTCTTCTGGGCCTCTTGGGTGCCTCTTGGGGCTTGCTGGAGGCCTGCTGGCGGCTTCGAGGGCCGTCTCGGGGCTCTCTTAGGCCGTCTTGGGCGCCTCTTGGGCCGTCTTGGAGCCCTCTTGGGCCGCCGTGGGGGCGTTTGGAGAGCCTCTTGCGCCGTCTTGGGGCGGTCTGGGGGGCGTCGCGGGCCGAGCGGCGGAAAGCCTAAACGTCGCACATGCTAGAAGTGCACGTTTTCCAAATGAAATTGGACGGTTTGGGCCTTTGGGAGCTCTCTTGGGGGGCCTCTTGGGGCTCTTTTGGGGCGTCTGGGGGGGCCTCTTGGGTCGTCTTGGGGCCATCTTGGGCGCCTTGAAGCCCTGTTGGCCCGTCTTGCAGCGCTCTGGGGGCCATTTGGGGTCGTCTTAAGCTCTCCAAGGGCGCTCCGGACACAGCGGCTCCCACCGGGCCTGAAGTCTGGCCGGGCCTGTTTTCTATGTATATGGGGCTTCATTGCATCAGTACAGCTCTCTCTCTCTCTATATATATATACCTCTATCTGTCTATATATATATATGTATATATATATATATCGATATATATATAATATATATATATATATATATATATATATATATATATATAAATATCGATATATATATATATATATATATATAGATATACATGCATGCATGCATGCATACAAACAAACAAACATACATACATACACAGTTATACAAGTTCCGATCCCTATCCGCTGCCTCTGGGCTCCTGGGCTCATGGAACATCGGCCACCCAGGCGTTAGATGTGTACAAACTCCAACCTCGGGGTATGGGACGGATCACCAGACAACAGGGCCAATGTGCCAACATGGGCTCTATCGCTATTTGGCGAACCCTTGGCACCATGCTCGCCGCCTTCGCCGCGACCTCCATCTCCATGACAACATCCTGCGCGGTATTGTTCGCGCCATCGCCCGAGCCCGTGGACTGCACAATGGAAGCCGAGGTCACGATGCTTGCAAGCACGCTCGAGGTGGCTTCGATGCCTTCGGGATCCAGCTCCGAGAGGGCACCGCTATCCGACATGGTGTCCAGCAGTTTGCCAGAGAACTCCTGGTTCCCACCACTGGAGCTGTCCGCCACTGCCGACAAGGCCGCCAGGGTCGCGAACGGGTCGCCAAAGCTGGCCACCGCCGCCATCACACCGAGCAGAGCGTCGTCGCTGACGGCTTCTGCCAGCTCCGTGACCTCCACCTCGGTGACTGCCGCGCTGGACGAGCCGAGCGTGTCTTTGGCGTCCGCCCGGATCAGCACCGCCCCGGGCGTGGACAGCAGGACGTTCTGCATGGTCTGGCTCTGCGCGTAGGCGCTGACTGTGGACCACGAGCCGCACTCGTCGCCGAGGGTTCCCGAACATTTGGAGAACCTGTGGAGCAGGGGCAGATCGTCGTCTAGCCAATTCGACGAGGAGAACGTCAGCGACGTCAGCGCGGCGCTGGCACCGCTCGGGAACACCTGGCACGAGCCACCGGTGGGCGGCTCGTCGATCAGGAAAAAAACTGAATCGAAGACATAGATTCCGGTGCTGGTATCCTCTGTGAAACCTGTGTGCTCCGAATCGGACAGCACCAGCCGCAGCTGATAGGTGCCGGGTGCAGCGGACAGCGAGGGGACCGACAGAAGCGCAAGACTGGTCGCCGCGGGCGCCGCCAGCTGCGTGGCGCTACCACCGGGCGTCAGGAGCCACCAGGCCTTCCAGGCGGGCGAAACGCAGCTGGCAGACTCGGCGATGGCCGCAGAGAGCGTCAGCGGCTGCTGCGGGGACACCTCCGCGCCCAGCTCGCCGAAGGAGACCACGGGCTGCACCGAGCCCGTGACCAGCACGCTGCCGTGTGTGGTCGAGTTGGCGTCCGCCCGGGAGACGGTGACCGTGAGGCGGTAGGCGCCCGCGGGCAGCCTCCCGCCGGCGACGGTGACGGCAGGACCCGTCTCGCCCGCCACGAGCGCGCTGCACGCAGCAGCCGCCTCGGCCGAGGCACCGAGCTGGGAGGAGCTGTCGGAGTCGCAGGCCCAGGCGAAGAGCAGGTCCGACCCGCTGGGGTCCGACGAGCTCGAGGCGTCGATCGGGAAGTCGCAGTCCTGCGACGCCCTGGCCGGAAGCGCCAGGCGGGCGTCGGGTGGCGGGATGCCCGCCACGGTCACGGCGAAGATGACGTCCACGTCCTCGGACCCGACGATGGAGGCCTTCACCTCGTAGTCTCCGGTGGCGCCGCCAAGCTCGGCGATCGGCATCCTGAAGGACGTGCGTGGGACGCCCACGGCGTTGGTCCAGCTGGTCCACAGCGCCTCACCGACGGCCATTGCGGGCCTCCAGCTCCAGGCGACGCCGATGATCCCTCCAGCTGCAGCGCCGTCGCAGAGGATGACGTTGGTGCCGAGGCGCACGTAGTCGTCCAGTAGAGTATACTCTGCGGTGCTTGCGGTCTTCACGAGGGACATGGAGCCGGCCGCGAAGACGTCGAACGTGAAGGTGACGGACCCCAGCGACTGGTCTCCATACTGGTTCACGCCGTGCACGTGCAGCGTCACAGGCATCGGGGACGCATATGCTACGTCCACTGCTGCCGCGCCAGAGACAAGATCACTGGAAACCTGGAGCGTGGCCACTGCCGCGCCCTCTGCAGCCACGGACAGGATTGCCGCGCACAGCTGCGACTCGGCGGGCTCACACGACCACGTCAGCTCGGTGGTGTCGTCCGGCACCGCAGCATGCACGACCAGCGAGTTGCAGGAGGTCAGCTCGGCAGGGAGCGCGACGAGGGACACGGCGCCTCGGAGGGGGACCGCCGGCTCCTCCCTGGACGCCAAGCAGTTCGACAAGGTCGCGCCAGGGGTTCTTTCCACTCTTCGGCGTCCCGTGGGCCGTTTCCAGGCCCATGGGCCGTCCAGGAGCCAACTCCGGATGAAAGGCTGGGAGCTCCAGGAGCCAGCGAAAAATCAAAACAGTGGCAACCATACTCTGTCGATTTACATACACGTACATGTATGTACAGTTGTGTACACCTGTACTTCATATGTCTCCGTGGATATATATATATATGTATATATGTATATATACATATGTATATATGTGTATCTACATATATATATATATTATATTCATACATACCCATATATGGATACATATATACATATATATATATATGTGTGTGTGCGATGCCAACGTATATGAAAATGCGCATGCGTAACAGTACATGTGCATGTGCACATTCGTGTATGCATATGTGTGCATGTGCTTGTGTTTGTAGATGTGTCCATATCTGTATCTGACTATGAATATGTCGATGTGTATGTATACGTATGTGCGTTTGCATTTGTATATAACGCATGCTCATGTGTATCCACCAATGTGCCCTGAGGCACGAGTCGGAGTGTTCTCAAAGAGAATGTGCTTCAATGGTGAATAAGATGATGGTTTACGCTGTGTTTATTTGCGCTGTGCTGTTTCACACTATGGTTTTGTTAAACTGTGTGTTCTATGCTGTGCTGCTTGCGCTGTGTTGTCTACGCTGTCTTCTTTACGCTGTGATTTCTGCGCTGTGTTTGTTTACACTGTGTTGACTACGCTGTGTGTTTCACGGCTGTCCTTGCTGTGCTTATCCGCTGTGTCGTTCCACGTATTGTCTACGCTGAATGGTTTACGGTGTGTCTGTTACGCTGTGTTTGCACGCTATGTGTTTACGATGTGTTGTTTACGCTGTGCTTTTTTACACTGTGTTTTTATGCTGTGGTTTTACGCTGTGATGTTCACGCTGTGCTTGTTTACGCACTTATTGTTCACGCTGTCCATGTTTACGCTGTTTGTTCTACGCAATATGTTTTACACTGTGTTGGTTAAGCTGTGTTTTTTTTACGTTGTGATTTCTTTGGTGTGGTTCCTACGCTATGTTTGTACTTCCGCTACGCTGTATGTTCACCTGATGTTTTGTTGACACTGTTGTTTACACTGTGTTGTCCATGTTGTGTTGTGTTACGCTGTGTTGTTCACGTTGTGTGGTTCTCAGCTGTGTTTGTTACTTTGAGTGTTTATGTTAAGCTGTGTTGTTTTACGCTGTGTGTTGCACGGTGTGACTTCAACGCTGTGTTGTTTACGCTGTGTGTTTACGCTATGATATCTACGCGTGTTTCCTACGCTGTCTGTACACTGTAGTTGATTACGCTTTGCTGTTCACGTTTTATTTCTTTTGTCATGGTTTCTGCGCTATGTTGTTTCCGGTGTATTGTCTGCGCTGTGTTTGGAATACGTTTTGTTCTCTACGCAGTGTTTTGTTTCCTCGCTGTGTTTTCAACGCTCTGTTGCTTTACGTTGTGCTTTTGACGCTGTGTTGCTTACGTTGTGGTTTTTGTGTTGTGCGTTCTATGCTGTGTGTTGTGATGAGCGTTTACGCTGTGTTTTGCGCGGTGTTTTTATAACGTTGTGTATTATACTCTGTGTTTGCTACGCTCTGTTTGGCTTACGCTGTGTTTGACCACGCTGTGTCTATTGTACATGGTGTGTTCTGCACTGTGTCCTACGTTGCGTTTCTACAATGGGTTTTTGACGCGTTGTTGTTTATGCTGTGCGTTACGCAGCGTTTCCCATGTACGCTGCGTTTCGGATGGTGATGGCAATGACGAAGAGCACGGTCATGCTGATCATGCTGATGATGATGGGCTCGCTGGGGCCTCCAGAAAATCCAGTGGATTGCACAATGTAAACAACATCACATCAGACCACTACGTAAACAAAACACCACGTACAAAAAAACACCTCAAAGCGACGTTCAGAACACAGCGTCGAAAACACAGCGTTCACACAAAAACACCGCGTAAAAAAAATGTACAAAAAACACCACGTGAAACAAAACACACCACGTTGAAGACACGGCGTGGGAAACTCAGCGTGACAAATACAGCGTAGCAAACACCACTCAAATAACACAACGTAACAAACTACGCAGCGTAGGAAACACCACATAGCACTGCAACCCTATAGCTCCCGATCAAGATGCTTTAGACTGATGGCTTTTGTGGCGGGCCCTCGCGCTGCGCGAACAAGCCGCAATACAAACCACTAGAACGTACAATATCAAAACGTCTCGTGAAAAAGAAAGCACCACGTACACGCACAACGCTAAAACAACACAGCGTCGTCAACACCACATGGCCGTGCAACTTCGGCGGCGGCTCTTCGCATCGCGCGAACTAGCCCAATGTCAAACCATAAGAACATACAAGGTCAAAGCGCTATGTAGAAACACCATGCGTAAACACAACGTCGAAAACACCGCGTAAAAAGCCGCCACGCGACACTGCAGCTTTGAATGTGGAAAGGCGACGTAGAAACCACAACGAAAAACAGCAACGTTCACAGCACAAGAGAGAAAGCATACCATTGAAATCAAAACGACAACCCACAGAGTAAAACACCATAGCTTGAACCCGCACAACGCAGAAAACACAACGCAAACCAACACGACAACACAACGCAGGAAACACACAAGGACACACAACTTCAAACACCTTAGAGAGGCACAGCGTTGGAACCATACCGCAGGAAGGCCACAGCGAAACAACAACGTCGAAAACACAGCAGAAAACACACAACGCGGGCAACACAGCGTAACGACAAACACAGCGTAGCAAAATCACAGCGTAATAAAAAGCGTAGACAACACGACGTTAAAACCATTGCGTAACAACCACAACGTTAAACCACAACGTAGACACCACAACGCAACAACAACATCAGAGACAACATAACGTAAGCCTCTACGTACACTGCACACAGCAAAACCACACACGTTAGAACACACATTGCTAAAATCAGAGTTTCAAACCGCAACGTTGGAACCACAGCGCAATAGGAACACCAGGGAACGCACACAACGTGGCAATCCACAATCGAACAAAAACATCGTACACAACACAACGTCAACACAGAACGTTTGAAGCACACAGCTAACACCACAACGTAGAACATACAGTGTAACAAAAGCATCAGGGGAAACACATCGTAAGAAACACCAATCGAGGAAAAACACTCTGACAGGCACACCAACCTGGACAAACACACCGTTCACAACAGAGCGTAAACAAAGGTAGAAGCACACAAAGTTTAACAAAGGAGCGATACAACACAACGTTAAAACGCAACATCGAAGACAAAGCGTAACGATAATGTCAGAGAAGGCACAACGTAGGAAATACCGGCCGATAAAACAAAACACCGCAGGAAATAGCAACCGATACAAACACACACACACACACACCGCAGAGAAAACACAGCGTGACAAACAGCGTCGAAGACACAACGTTCAAAAACAACGTATCAACCACAACGTACACCGCAACGTATAGAACAAAGCGCAACAATAACATCGGAGACAACACAACAGATCAACCAATGCACACAACACACCGTAAAACAGCACACGTTAGAAAACACATCGATAAAACCACAACGTGAAAAACCACAACGTTGTTGAAACCACCGCTTAAGAAAATCAGATCAAAAACAACGTGGCAATCACCAGTCGAGAAAACAAACATCGTACCCAACACTACGTAACCAACACGCAGTAAGCAAGACAAGGTAGAACGCACAACGTAAAAGACACAACGATGAAAACACAACGTTACACACACAACGTTGAAAGTACAGTGTAACAAGAGCATCAGAGAAAACACACCGCAGGAAACACCAACCGATAAACAAACACCGTAAACAAAACAACGTAAAACATCAGAGAAAACACAGCGTCGGAAACATACGTCGAGGAACCAACAAACCGTACAAAACCACTACATAGACGACACACTGTAAGCAAAACAAGGTTTATATCAACACACTACGTAGGCAACAAAGGTAGAAAACACAACATAAGCAACACACATTAGAACACACAACGTAAACACACACGCACACACACAACGTGATAAAACAAACGCAGCGTCAAAGCACGGCGTAGCCTTCGTTAAATCACAATAAATTATGCATTGCACTGTTAAGACTACTCCGAGTTTCTCAATCAGCGTCGGGAGGGCGTCACCCCCGCCGACAGCCCCACATCGACTCCCGTCGCGGGCAGCCACCGCGCGCCGAAGGAACTCCGACCCCCGTCACGGCGCGACGAGGAGGCGAGGTTGACCCCCGTCGGGGTGGCACCCCCCCACGCTTAGTGAGAAACCCAGAGTACCTGGTCCACTGGTCCCTTCGAATTCTCCGTATGGAATGTTGCCAAAATATCACGCAAGGGGCCCACAACCTGAAAGGCCCGGGCGCTCCTGGGCGCTCCCGCGCGCTCCGGGGGCGCCCTCTTGCGGGGTCCCGGCGCTGCCTCTCGAGGGGCCAAGAGCGCGCTGCTCGGGACATACAGTGGGGGCCCGACCGCGAGAAACCTGCCACGGGAAACCCAACCCTGAGACCCCAGGACGTCCATCGACTGTTGGTGTGGGGACGTCACGCTCTCCACGGCAAGACCATCGGAACCCAAGAAGCCCAGGGCACCCTGGGGGCGAGCAGGGTGTCTCTGGGCATGGGTCCCCACTGTGCATGTCCAGCGTGGTCTCTGACGGCCACAGGGACCGTCCTGGAGCCCTCTCGGGCGCCTCTTGGGCTGGAGGCCCTGGAGGGCGGCCCAAGAGCCCCAAATTGTCAAGATCCATGCGCTGATGTATGGCTGTCGCATTACCGCCGTGTTGGTCTTCAGAGCGTCGACGGCGGCCGAAGAGGCGCCCAAGATCGTCCCAAGACGGCCCAAGAGCCCCCCGAGAGGGGCCCAAGAGGCCCCCAAGACGGCCCAAAGCGGGGCCCGAGACGGGGAACGCGAGCTGACACACGGGGCCCTCCGCCCCAGAGGACCCCGAGGCGCGCCCAAGACGCCCCAAGAGGCCCCAAGGAGGCCCGAAAGGGGCCCGAATCGGGCCCCGAGAGGCACCCAAGACGCCCCAAGAGGCACCCAAGACCGCCTCCGACAGGCCTCCGAGAGGCCTCCCAGGAGATCCCCACAGACGTCCAGGAGGCCTCAAGCCTACACAACCCCGGGCGCGGTGGCCGGATGGGTCGAAGGCCCCTAGTATCTGCACATGTACACGTAAGCGTACATACAGAACAACATAAATCACTGCTGTGCAGCAAGATCCAGGAAAAAAACAGGCACTGCAACAACAAAAAACACAAGGTGCGAGGCATGGGCCTGTCGCTTGAGCCCCTCGTCCCTCCTTCTGCCTTCTCTGCCTCCTGCTCCCCCTCCTCCTCCTCCTCCTCCTCCTCCTCCTCCTCCTCCTCCTCCACTCACTGACTTCTTCTTGTTCAATGTGAACGGAGTGATCCCATCGCCGTCGGCTGGTTCCAGAGTGCACGTGGCGGGGAGCTGCCTTCATCCCTCTCATCTCCTCAATGTGCACACGCATTTGAAGATTCGGTGTCGTGGTAGATGTGGGACAGTAGCTGACAAGCCGCTCGGTGCGTTGGGTAAGCCCTGTACCAACGCGATACCCCCTTTACCTTGAAAGAATTCGTGAAGGTGTGGCCCCTAAGGTCCTCGGTGAAGCCTGAAAGACCCTGAGGGCCCGAGGGTGAGATAAGTCACAGGCGCTGGCATCGACACTGGTTCCTACTCCTGCTCCTCCTCCTCCCACTCTCACTGGCGTGTCTTCTTTCCTCCCCCGTATCCTGCATAAAAGCCTCCCCAGGAACGAGAACACCCCCGCAGACAGCAGTCCTGAAAGAGCTACAGAAATCGCGAGTCACATGGGTTGGCGCGGCCACACTGTTAAAACAACAAATCAGGGCGGGCCCAAGACTAGAGAAGAAGATACATCGTCCTTCGAGCGCAGCCAGGCCTCTCCTTGCGTCGAAATCGCAGCATTGTCCCTAGTCGCGTGATTGGGAGGCCGCTACAAATCGCCAGACCAGGACGATGTGATGCTTCACTGCCTGGTATCCTCCTTCACTGCCCCCTCCCTCCTCCGCCTCCTTCGCCCGCCCTCCTCGTCAGAACTATTCGGCGCGGGGGCCCCCGTATTGTCCATACATGTTCTAGCACATTCCGTCCGAAGCGTCTGGGCACAACTGAGTCTGAACGCGAGAAAACCTGAACACGAATGGGCGGCTGCGAGTATGGGCGGGATCGGGTATGAGCATATCAGTGACTGGGTGTCAATGGCCCTGAGTGCGAGTGGGCCTGGGTACGAGTGAGTTTGAGTTGGAATGAGAATGTGTGCGATTGCATATGAGTGTGAGTGGGTCTAGATATGAGCGGCTGCGCTAGAGCGTCTCGATATGACTGGGTCCGGGTATAAGCGGGCATGGATACGAATGCATATCACCGAGTGCGTCTGCGTATGAGCGCCTGGATGCGAGTGGGTCTGAATGAGGGTGGGCCTTACTTTGCTAATGTCTGCAACTGTCTGGGGACCTCTGCTGCCATACGCTGCTCTCTGCTAGCCTCCCCCGCTCTCTGCTGGTCTCTGCCGCTCTCTGCTGGGCTCTGATGCTCTCTGCTGGTCTCTGCCCCGCAAACAACAATTCTGCCTGAGAAGCCCCGGCTACCTGGGCACGACTGATCCGTGATAACTCCCTGACTGGCTCCCACTTGGGAGGCCCAAGTGCTACGCATGCTGCATCGCGATTTTTGCGGGGCTGTGAACAAAGCCCATCCGCCCGCCAAAACGGCGACTGTGACTAGAATGTCCCAACTGTCTGGGAACGAACGGGCTCGTGATACCTCCCTGTTCGGCTCCCCAGTTTGAGGCCCAACTGCCATGCCTGCTACACCGCGGGTACACTGGGACTCTGCAGAGCGGCAATTCTGCCCGAGAGGTCCCAACTACTTGGACACGGATGAACACATGAGGCCCAAATGCCATGCTTGCCGCATCGCGATGGTCCTAACGCCCCTAAGAGACACGCCCCGACATACGACTGGGTTCGTGATGGCCCCCACGGTCGGCTCCCCCCTAGAAGGCCCAAACGCAACGCGTCCTACATCGCGGTTGCACTGGAGCTCTGCGACAAGCACGTCCAACCCACAAAATCTGCGGTTCGTCCCGAGAGACCACGACGTTCTGTGCACGAGCGGGCCCATGACAGCCACATGGGATGCCTGCGCCATCGAAGGGCCCTGAGGCTTTGGAACGAGACGTGGTCGACCCACGAGCGCGTTTCTTTATTTTCGGCGATAATGGGCATTATAGGGGAGGTGGGGGGGAGGGGCCAGGGGGGGGATAATGTAACGCCTCCCCCCCGCCGTGCGCACGGCGGCAGCGCGCGGAGCGCACTGGGGGGGGGGGGGGCTTTACATTATAAGGGGGGAGGAGGGGGGGGGGGCGGGGCTCCTCCTCCTCCTCCTCTCCTCCTCCTCCTCCTCCTCCTCCTCCTCCTCCTCCTCCTCCTCCTCCTCCTCCTCCTCCTCCTCTTCTGCCCACAGCAATGAAGAAACACGCTCCACCGCAGCAGTCATTGTACCCGAGGGGCCCAGACACTCTGGCACGAACGGGCCCGTGATGACACCCTGGCCATCGCGGTGACCTCGAGGCTCTGGGAAGCCACACGACCAGCCTGTCAGAACGGTCGCTCGACCCGAGAGGCTCCGGCCGTCTGGGCGCGAACGGACTCGTGATGACCCCCCACCCCATCGGCTCCCCCCAAGGAAGCCCAAGTGCGATGCTTGCCGCACCGCGGTCAGATTGAGGCTCTGAAAGGAGGCACGCCTACTCCGCGGCATCTGCAATTCTACCCAAGATGCCCCGGCCATACGGGCACGAACAGGCCCGTGATATAACGCCCTCGTCGGCTTCACTGCGGGAGGCCAAAGTCAAAGTGCCATGCTTGCGACATCGCGACAATCCTGAGGCTGCGGAAAAAATACATTTCCGCCCCGCCAAAACTATCATCCGATCTGAGAGGCCCCGACCATCTTGGCGCGAACGGGCCCGTGACAACACACCCTGGTCAGATACCCCGTGGGAGTCCCAAGTGCCATGCCTGAGTGCATCTGGCAATGAGTGAATAGGATTGCAACTGACTCTGGCTATGAGCGAGTCCGAGTGTGACTGAATACGGTTGCGAGTGAGGCTAAGTATGACCAGGGTATGCGTATGAGTGAAAAGGAATATGTAGGTGTGGACCTGAATATGAGCAAGACTGCAATGGCTGGATCTGAGTTTGAGGGGGTCTAGGTGTGAGTGAGTCTGTGTATTAGCGACTCCGGGTAAGCATGGGTCTGAGTGTGAGCGGTGTGAAAATTCGCGCTGGCCGTTGTGAGTCTGGGTGGGAGTGAGCCTGCGGGAGGGCGGAAAGGAGGAGGTATGAAGGAGGCGGAGGCATCATAATACTAGCAGTAAGCCCACACGTATACGATGGAAGCTGACTGCAAAGTACACGCCATGTTCCCCAACCAGTGCTTGCATGTGGAGGTTCACTCGCTTTGGCCTCAGCGAACTGACATGGTGAGCTGGGGCTGGCTCGCTTGTCGCCCCTTGGGGCTGTACACGGCGTGGCTCTCTGGAGCCCCACGGAACTCCTCGCAGCGTTGTCGGCCCTGCCCTCGGTGCCTTCACCCGCCGCGGCACCCCCACAGGGCGCCGCGCACGGGGGCTTCTGCTCGCACCAGGTGGCCACACGAGCGCACGCGGAGATCTGCGCGCACGGAGGGCTGCACAGCCTTGGAGTGCAACACGCGTGGGGCTCTTCTCACAAGCACACACACACACACTTCGGGATCCCTACGCATGGGGTTCCACACAGATACATGGGGGGGTATACACATGCGGTTCCACACGCATCGGGTTCCACAGACATACTGTTCTTTCTGCACACAATGGGTTGCACACATATGGGGATCCACAATATGTCGGCTGCGCAAACCGTGCGCCCGCTTCTGCAAAAACCGCACAAACCGCTTGTGCTTCTGTGTTTGAACCCGGTGTGTCTGGAGTCCACTGAGTGGAGCCGTATGTGTGTCAGGGAGGTGGGCTGTGTGCGTAGATCTGTGTCCACAATCACCGCGCAACCTACCGCGCAACCGGCGATGCGCAACCGACCACGCAACCCACAGCGGAGCCCATTGTTCAACGCATCGAAACATCCATCGCGAACAATCTGGTCACGCGTGACCCACTGCGCGACCCACGGCGCACCTACCTAGCAAACCATCGCGCACCGCGGAACCAACGGCGTAACCCGATGGCGTCAACGGCCCGACACGGGCACGCAAGGTCAGAACAATACGTAGTAGTCAGTGCCAGCACTGTTTGGGGAACTACAGAATACAGACACGGCGCCTATTGTGGTGGTAGTCGAAGTCGTACTGGAAGTGGACGTGGTGGTAGAAGTTGTGGTGGAGGTGGTGGTGGTAGTGGACGTGGTGAGGGAAGTTGTGGAAGTGCTCCACGTGCTGATGCTGGTGGTAGTGGTCCAAGTGGCCGATGAACTTGATGCGCTCATTGTGCTGGTGATGCTGAGCGTCGTGGTTGTCGACGTCATCGTAAGCGTGACGCTGTCGATCTCGGGCGTGCTGAGGCTGTCCACAGTCACGGTGTAGCTCGCGCCCTGGCGCTCTAGATTAGTCGTTGTCAAATCCTGCATGGCCGACGCGGCATCCGGATCAGTCAGCGCAGAGAGGATGTCCGAGTTGGTACCAGCACTGGTGCCCGGTCCACCGACGGTCGTGATGCTGTAGCTCACCTGCACGGAGGACAGCCTTCGCGCCCTCGCCCAAGACGACACTGGCGCCTTGGCGCGTTGCCCATCAGGAGAGGCAGGTGTCCCCTGCTGGGCTACCGCCTGGTGGCTCGGTGTCGCAAGGCGCCTGCTGATGCTCAGGGTCACAGACACCTGGCTCGCCTCCACGCCCACTAGGCTGGCTATGCTGTCCGTCACGGCCACCACGGCGGTGGCATCGCTCACGAAGGCCACGGGGTCGGAGACCACCAAATTCATCGATCCGCTAATCGTGTTAACAACTTGCACAGTCGTTGTGGAGGTGCTTGTCCCCGATGTGAGACTAGAGCTGGTCCCCGATGTGCTTGAGAGCGTGGTGCTCGACACGCTGTTGGTGCTGGACACTGTTGTGGACGAGACCGAAGAGGTGGAAGATTGCGTCGAAGTGCTCGACATCGTACTGCTCGAGACTGTGGAGGTGCTGAGGGTGGTAGAGCTGCTCCGCGTGGTGCCGCTCCCCGTGGTGCTGCTCAAAGTCGAGCTCGACTCCGTCGTGCGCGTGGAGGTCGTGCTGCTGGTGTGGGTCCTGCTGCTCAGCGTGCTGCTGCTGGTCGCGCTCGTGGAGGTCAGTGTCGTGGTGCTGCTCCCAGACGTGGTGCTGCTCGCAGTTGTAGTGCTTACGGTGCTGCTTGTTACGCTGCTGGTGGCACTGCTGGAAGTCAGAGTGCTGCTGCTGGTTCCAGTTGTGCTGCTCAAAGACGCGCTGCTGGTCCACGTTGTGCTACTCACAGACGTTGTGCTACTCTGCGTCGTACTGCTTAGAGACGTGCTGCTCGTCCCCGTCATGGTACTCAGCGAGCTGCTGGTCCCCGTTGTGCTGCTCGAGCCAGTGCTTGACTCACTCGTGGACGTCAGTGTGGTAGTGCTGCTTCCCGTCTCAGTGCTTGTGGACAGGCTGCTGGTACCCGTCGTGCTGCTCAGGGAAGAGGAGCTCGTGACACTGTGTGTCGCGCTGCTTACGGATGTACTGCTGGTCCCCGTCGTGCTGCTCAAAGACGTGGTGCTCGTCCCACTGCTCGTCCGGGTCGTGTGGGTCAAGGTCGTAGTGCTGCTCTCCGTCGTACAACTTAGAGACGTGCTGCTTGTCCGTGTCGTGCTACTCTTCGATGTGGTGCTCGACGCGGTACTCGACTCACTCGTGGATGTCAGAGTGCTTGTGCTGCTGCCTGTTGTGCTGGTCAACGTCGTGCTGCTTGTCCGTGTCGTGCTACTCCTCGAAGTGGTGCTCGACGCGGTACTCGACTCACTCGTGGATGTCAGAGTGCTTGTGCTGCTGCCTGTTGTGCTGGTCAACGTCGTGCTGCTTGTCCGTGTCGTGCTACTCTTCGATGTGGTGCTCGACGCGGTACTCGACTCACTCGTGGATGTCAGAGTGCTTGTGCTGCTGCCTGTTGTGCTGGTCAACGTCGTGCTGCTTGTCCGTGTCGTGCTACTCCTCGAAGTGGTGCTCGACGCGGTACTCGACTCACTCGTGGATGTCAGAGTGCTTGTGCTGCTGCCTGTTGTGCTGGTCAACGTCGTGCTGCTTGTCCGTGTCGTGCTACTCCTCGAAGTGGTGCTCGACGCGGTACTCGACTCACTCGTGGATGTCAGAGTGGTGGTGCTGCTCTCGGTCGTGCTACTCACAGAAGTACTGCTGGTCCGAGTCACGCTGCTTATCGATGTAGTGCTCGACCCAGTGCTGGTTTCCGTCGTGGAATGTATAGTGGTGGTGCTACTTTCCGTCGCGGAGCTGAGACTTGACGTGCTGGTGCCCGTCGCGCTGCTCTCTGTCGTGCTGCTGCTCTCCGTCGTGCTGCTCCCTGTCGTACTGCTCAACGACGTGGTGCTGGTCACGCTGCTCGTCTCAGTCGTGGACGACAGAGTGCTTGTGCTGCTGTCTGTTGTGCTGGTCAACGTCGTGCTGCTGGTCCAAGTCGTGGAGGTCAACGTCGTGCTGCTGGTCTCTGTTGTGCTACTCAGAGACGTGGAGCTCGTCGCCGTGCTCGTCTCACTGGTGGTGTGTGCAGAGGTGGTACTGCTCTCCGACGTGCTGCTTCCGGTTGTGCTGCTCAATGTCGTGCTGCTTGTCCCCGTCATGCTGGTCAACGACGTGGTGCTCGAAAAACTACTTGTCTCACTCGTGGAGGTCAAACTCGCGCTGCTAGTCTGCGTTGTGCTGCTGAGCGTCGTGCTGCTGGTCCCCGACGCGCTGCTCAGAGACGTGGTGCTCGTCGCGCTGCTCGTCTCGCTCGTTGATGACAGGGTGCTGCTGCTGCTGCCTGTTGTGCTGCTCAACGACGTGGTACTCGAAGAACTGCTCGTCCCACTCGTGGAGGTCAATGTCAAGCTGCTGGTCTCCGTCGTGCTGCTCAATGACGTGCTGCTCACCGTCGTGCTGCTCCACGTCGTGCTGCTCAACGTCGTGGTGCTGGTCTCGGTCGTGCTGCTCAGAGACGTAGTGCTCGTCGCACTACTCGTCTCACTCATGGATGACATACTACTCGTGCTGCTGCCTGTTGTGCTGCTCAGCGAAGTGGTACTCGACGCACTGCTCGTCTCACTCGTGGACGAAAGAGTGGTGGTGCTGCTGCCTGTTGTGGTGCTCAGCGAGGAGGTGCTGGTCCCACTCGTAGAGGTCAACGTCCAGCTGCTGGTCCCCGTCGCGCTGCTCAGCGTCGTGCTGCTGCTCTCCGTCGTGCTACTCAGAGACGTGGTGGTCGTCACAGTGCTCGAGTCAGTCGTGGAATGTACGGTGGTGGTGCTGCTCCGCGTCGTGCTGCTCCCCGTTGTGCTGCTCAACGTAGTGCTGCTGGTTCCAGTCGTGCTACTCACAGACGTAGTGCTAGAACCACTGCTTGTGAGACTGGTAGTATGAACAGTCGTGCTACTGCTCTCCGTCGTGCTGCTTAACGTCGAGCTGCTCACCGTCGTCGTGCTCGTCTCAGTCGTGCTGCTCAACGACGTGGTGCTCGAAAAGCTACTTGTCTCACTCGTGGAGGTCAGACTCGCGCTGCTACTCTGCGTTGTGCTGGTCTCCGACGTTATGCTGGTCCCTGTCGTACTGCTCAACGACGTGGTGCTCGTCACGCTGCTCGTCTCACTCGTGGACGAAAGAGTGCCGGTACTGCTGCCTGTTGTGCTGCTCAGCGACGTGGTGCTGGTCCCACTCGTGGAGGTCAAGGTGGAGCTGCTCGTCTCCGTCGTGCTGCTGGTCCCAGTCGAACTGGTCAAAGACGTGGTGCTCGTCACACTGCTCGTCTCACTCGTGGACACAAGGGTCGTACTGCTGCTTTTCGTCGTGCTGCTTAGCGTCTCGCTGCTAGTGCCCGTCGTGCTGCTCTGAGACGTAGTGCTCGTCACACTGCTCGTCTCACTCGTAGACGAAAGAGTGCTTGTGCTGCTGCCTGTTGTGCTGCTCAGCGACGTGGTGCTGGTCCCACTCGTGGAGGTCAAGGTGGAGCTGCTCGTCTCCGTCGTGAGACTGGTCCCAGTCGTACTGCTCAGAGTAAAGGTGCTCGTCACACTGCTCGTCTCACTCGTAGACGAAAGAGTGCTTGTGCTGCTGCCTGTTGTGCTGCTCAGCGACGTGGTGCTGGTCCCACTCGTGGAGGTCAAGGTGGAGCTGCTCGTCTCCGTCGTGAGACTGGTCCCAGTCGTACTGCTCAGAGTAAAGGTGCTCGTCACACTGCTCGTCTCACTCGTAGACGAAAGAGTGCTTGTGCTGCTGCCTGTTGTGCTGCTCAGCGACGTGGTGCTGGTCTTAGTCGTGGAGGTCAACGTCGTGCTGCTGGTCCCCGTCGTGCTGCTCAGCGTCGTGCTGCTGCTCAACGTTGTACTGCTTAGAGACGTGGTGCTCGTCCAGCTGCTCGTAACAGTTGTGGAAGTCAGGGTCGTGGAACTCGTCCCCGTCGCACTGCTCACCGACGAGATGCTGGTCCCAGTTGTGCTGCTCAACGACGTGGTGCTCGTCGCACTGCTCGTTTCACTCGTGGATGTCAGAGTCGTGGTGCTGCTGTCTGTCGTGCTGCTCAACGTCGTGCTGCTGGTCCCAGTGGTGCTAGTCAGAGACGTGGTGCTGGTCGCACTGCTCGTCACACTCGTGGAAACAAGGGTCGCACTGCTGCTTTTCGTGGTACTGCTTAGCGTCTCGCTGCTAGTACCCGTAGTACTGGTCAGAGACGTACTGCTCGTCATACTGCTCGTCTCAGTCGTGGACGACAAAGTGCGTGTGCTGCTGCTTGTCGTGCTGCTCAACGTGGTCGTGCTGGTCCCAGTCGTGCTGCTCAGAGACGTAGTGCTCGTCGCACTGCTCGTCTCACTCGTGGACGTCTGGGTCGTGGTGCTGCTCAACGTCGTGCTGCTCAGAGACGTGCTGCTGCCTGTCGTGCTGCTCAGAGTCATGGTGCTCGACGCACTGGTGGAAGTCAAAGTAACGCTGCTGGTCCCAGTCGTGCTGCTCAACGACGTGGTGCTCGTCGCACTGCTCGTTTCACTCGTGGATGTCAGAGTCGTGGTGCTGCTGTCTGTCGTGCTGCTCAGAGACGTGCTGCTGCTGCCTGTCGTGCTGCTCAGGCTCGTAGTGCTCGACGCACTCGTGGAAATCAACGTAACGCTGCTGGTCCCAGTCGTGCTGCTCAGAGACGTAGTGCTCGTCGCACTGCTCGTCTCACTCGTGGACGTCTGGGTCGTGGTGCTGCTACCCGTCGTGCTGCTCAGAGACGTGCTGCTGCTGTCTGTCGTGCTGCTCAGGGTCGCAGTGCTCGACGCAGTAGTGGAAGTCAAAGTAACGCTGCTGGTCCCAGAGTTGCTGCTCAGAGACGTAGTGCTCGTCGCACTGCTCGTCTCACTCGTGGACGTCTGGGTCGTGGTGCTGCTACCTGTCGTGCTGCTCAGAGACATGCTGCTGCTGCCTGTCGTGCTGCTCAGGGTCGCAGTGCTCGACGCACTGGTGGAAGTCAACGTAACGCTGCTGGTTCCAGTCGTGCTGCTCAGAGACGTAGTGCTCGTCGCACTGCTCGTCTCACTCGTGGACGTCTGGGTCGTGGTGCTGCTACCCGTCGTGCTGCTCAGAGACGTGCTGCTGCTGTCTGTCGTGCTGCTCAGGGTCGCAGTGCTCGACGCAGTAGTGGAAGTCAAAGTAACGCTGCTGGTCCCAGAGTTGCTGCTCAGAGACGTAGTGCTCGTCGCACTGCTCGTCTCACTCGTGGACGTCTGGGTCGTGGTGCTGCTACCTGTCGTGCTGCTCAGAGACATGCTGCTGCTGCCTGTCGTGCTGCTCAGGGTCGCAGTGCTCGACGCACTGGTGGAAGTCAACGTAACGCTGCTGGTTCCAGTCGTGCTGCTCAGAGACGTAGTGCTCGTCGCACTGCTCGTCTCACTCGTGGACGTCTGGGTCGTGGTGCTGCTACCCGTCGTGCTGCTCAGAGACGTGCTGCTGCTGCCTGTCGTGCTGCTCAGGGTCGTGGTGCTCGTCTCCGTCGTGCTGCTCAGAGTCATGGTGCTCGACGCACTGGTGGAAGTCAAAGTAACGCTGCTGGTCCCAGTCGTGCTGCTCAACGTCGTGCTGCTCATACTTGTCGCACTGCTTGTCGCAATGCTCGTCGCACTCGTGGATGTCAGAGTCGTGCTCGTCTCCGTCGTGCTGCTCAGAGTCGTGGTGCCCGACGCACTCGTGGAGGTCAAAGTAACGCTGCTGGTCTCCGTCGTGCTGCTCAACGTAGTGCTGCTCATACTTGCCGCACTGCTTGTCGCAATGCTCGTCGCACTCGTGGATGTTAGAGTCGTGGTGCTTGTCTCCGTCGTGC